TCCTAAATTTCTGACCCACAGAAACCACAAGATATAATAAAGTGATTGATTGTTGTTTGAAGTCACTAAGATTTTGGGTGATTTGATACATTCAATAGATAACTGAAACAAGATTGAAAGTGTTTATAGCCCTGTCCCTTGTGGTTCAGTGGTAAGAGTGTTGGCCCACTCACCAAAGGTCTCCAGTTTGATTCCCGGTCTAGGGCACATACTTGAGTTGTAGCTTCAATCCTCACCCCAGTTGCCTGTGGGTAGGCAACCAATTGATGTGTCTCTCTCACAAAGATATTTCTCTCTCTCTCTCTCTTCTTTCCTCCCTCTCCTCCACTCTCTAAAAATCAATGGAAAAAATATCTTCAGGCGAGGATTAACAACAGCAACAACAAAAAAGGAAAATGTTTATAAAATATCTGACACACAGTAGGTGCTCAATAAGTGGTACCTATCTTTTGGTACTTGTAAGAAGAAGGTTATTATGTGGAAAATCTCTAACACCTAAATCATTTTTTCCTCAGTAAATTTTCTCTAACAAAAACTTGTGGATTGGTGCCCATGGACCCACTCAATTTATTTTAATCCTGATACCAAAATAATGTAGACTTATCAATAATCCTTGGTAAGGGGATGAACTTATTTTGGACCAATGCTACTTTCTGAGGAGAACTTTCTGTTTAGAAAATGCTACCTATAACTTTGTTCATAACTTTAGAGTCCCCATCAGTGGTAGACTATTTTTCCTCGCCCCATTTTCCTGTGGGGATGGTATGTCGAGTCTAACATGTTTAGAATTAGGATTAACATGATTTATTGAATAATGTCTTAAGTGAATATATTTCAAATTGCAGAAGTAGAATATTCTTATAGTAACACAAAATGAAAATGTATAAGGCTATTTCTCCTCCCTAATATCAGTAGCCTGGTATATATTCTTCCACTCCCTTCTTGTTGCTCATATAAACACAAAGAAGCATATAGATATGTATGTAGATATATATGTACATATAAAGATAGTTACTTAATTGGTGGTTTTTACTGAAATGGAAACATTTTATAATTATTCTGCAACATTTTTTTCACTTAACAGTATATCATGATCTCTACATGTTAGTGCATATACATTTGCTTTTGTTTCCTATGGCTGCTTTAACAAATTACCACCAACATAATGGCAACACAAATTTATTCTCTTACAGTTCTGGAGGTCAGAAGTCTGAAAGCAGTTTTACTGGGCTATAGTTAAGGATAAAGTTGGCAGGGCTACTTTCTTTTCAGGGCTCTGAGCTTTTCTAATGGCTGCCTTTATTCCTTGCTTTCTCCATCTCCTCCGTCTACAAATGGAAACACCCTAATCTCTGCTTCCATCATCCTATCTCTTTCTTCCTCTGCCTCCCTCTTATAAGGACACTTGTGATTACATTATGGCCAACCACATAATTCAGATAACTTCCCCCATCTCAATGTATGCAATTTAATTACACCTGCAAAGTCCCTTTTGCTATACAGTGGTCCCCCCTTATCCATGGGGATGTTTTAAGACCCCAGTGGATTCCTGAAACTGTGGATGGTACCAAACCCTATATATACTATGTTTTTCCCTATATGTATATATTTTTCACTTAAAGAAAGCACTTTACAGCTTATTTTTGGCATATCTAGATCGCCAACATCATTACTCTTGTAATTTGCAGCCATTTTTAAGTAAAATAAGAGTGACTTGCCCTGGCTGGTTTGGCTCAGCAATTGGGGCATTGGCCTGCGGGCCAGAGATTCCCGGGTTCAGTTCCTGCTAGGGGCATGTACTGAAAAAAAAAAAAAAAGAGTGACTTGAACATAAGCCCTGCGATACAGCAAGAGTCAATCTGATAACTGAGAACTAAGGGATGAACAGGTAGTGTATACAATATTGATACTCTGGACAAAGGAATGATTTACAATTTAAAACTTGTGAATTATTCATTTCTGAAATTTTCCATTTAATATTTTTGGACTGCTTGACCATGGTAACTGAAACCATGGAAAGTGAAACCATGAATAAGGGGAGACTACTGTATAAAGTAACATTCTCAGGTTCTAGGGATGAGGAACTGGATATTTTTTGGGTGACATTATTCAGTCTGCCACAATATCTAAATCCATCTTTTAATCTCACATATTTATACAAAGCACACACTTTTACATAAAAGGAACCATATCAGACATGCTGGAGTATTTTAAGTGTAGTTTTCTTTTTCTTCTTTCTGTATTCCTTAACTTTTTAAAGATTATTTCTGTTGACATGTATCCTACACTATTCTCCATGCTCACAAACCACATGAAAAACAAATCTGATTTAGGTAAGGAGAGACTTTATTTGAAAGGATTATTGCAAGGTGGGGGGTGTGTATTGCAGTAGTAGGAGGAAGACTCTTCCCTGCCTGGGGGGGAGGGGGGGAGGCAACATTATGTGGTTGGCCATAATGTAATTACAAGTATCCTTATAAGTGGGAAGCAGAGGAAGAAGGTGATAGGATGATGGAAGCAGGCCAAGTAGGAATATACTTGGCCTATGTTCCTATGCTGCTCAAATCTGTCTATCACAGAAAGTTTCTTAACCATCACTTATTTCCAGGAGTACTGTGCTCAGGTGAAATTCAACATTGACAATGTATAAGGTTTAATGGGTTGTTTGCTTTAAAAAAATTAGATCATATTAAACGTATATCCCTGCATTTTACCTTTTTCACTCAAAATATAGCTAGAGAAAATCCTTTCAGGCCTGATACAGTTCTTTGGGCTTTAACCACTGAGTCAAACTGGCCAGGGCTCAATTCCATTCTTTTTTTTTTTAAATCCTCACCTGACAATATTTTTCTATTTATCTTCAGATAGAGTGAGAGGGAGAGAAAGGGAGAGAGAGAGAAACATCGAGAAAGACACATCAACTGGTTGTCTCCTGCATGGTCCTACCCCGACCACGTCCAGGAACAAACTGCAACCGAACCGCAACTGAGGTATGTGCCCTTGACTGGAATGAAAACCATGACTCAGTGGTCCACAGGCTGATTCTCTACTGCTGAGCCAAACCGGCCAGGGCATCTCTTCCATTCTTTTGAATGTCCTCATAATGTTTCAAAATGTGGTTGTGTGGTAGGCAGTTAGACAGACGTGAGCAGAGCCAGGACGATGGCCCAGGTATAGTTCACCAGGGTGAAAAGCCTTAGGTGCCTAGCAAAGGATGATTGTAGGGTGGGACCTTTCCTCCCCTAGCATATTGCTGGTCATATGGTTTGGATCCCCTGACCTTTCCTTCCTAGAGATAACATTTAGGTGTCAGTTGTATTTTATTTCCAGGCCCAGAAAAGCAGCAAAAAACAGACAAGCAACGCCACAGGCTGACCTCAGGACCAAATGCATTGGATAATGACCCCTTGCCCTGGCACTGACCTATCAATCAGTGGAGACCCTAGCCCTGAAAGGACAACCTGGAATACTGCTGAATATTCTCTTGAAACCTTCCCCTGGGACCTCCCCTAAAACCTCCACCCTTAAAATCTTTATTACCCAGTGTGCTCTCCCTCTCAGGAGCTCACCTGTGCCTTTTCTTTCCCTTTCCCCTCCCCAACCACCCCGCTCCGGTCAAAATTCTTTTTCTTTCTTTTCTTTTCTTTCTCTCTCTCTCTCTCTCTCTTTTCTTTTCTTCTTTCTTTCTTTCTTTCTTTCTTTCTTTCTTTCTTTCTTTCTTTCTTTCTTTCTTTCTTTTCTCCTTCCTTCCTTCCTTCCTTCCTTCCTTCCTTCCTTCCTTCCTTCCTTCCTTCCTCCCACCCCCCTTTCTTTCTTCTATCTCCCCCCCCCCTCACTTCAGGATACTTTTCTATTTATCATCAGATAGAGTGGGAGGGAAGGAGAGAGAGAGAGACAGAAAGAAACATCAATGTGATAGAACCACATCGACTGGTTGCCTCCCCCCCAACGCAACCAGGGCCAGGGACCAACAGCAACAGATGTACCTGCCCTTGACTGGAACCAAACCCGAGACTCATTGGTTCTCAGGTCGAGGCTCTAACCGCTGAGCCAAACCAGCCAGGACTCCATTTTCTTTCTCAGAATCTTTTCACAGACCTGTCTACCCCTTTGAATTTACATTTGTTTGCTCCTTCCTCATCCCCGCCCCCCCCCCCCACTTGCCCAAGGAAGGAAGTGGTTGGAAACAAACAAAAAAAAAAGGTCCCAATACCTTCTCTTTTGTCTTCCTGATCTCCTTTCCAGAAGCACGGGGGCCCCAGATCCAATGAGGTCGTGTCAGTGAGTCAGGAACTTTTGGACCCCAGTTCCTAGTCCCCCCTGGTCCCCAGAAGCGTCGGAAGGAAGACGTGGCCCAGGCCTAGGGCATCCTGGCTGAGTGCAGGGGTTGGCATCATCTCCTTGGCTGGCACCTCCCAGGCAATCTGAATACTGAAAGTCAAACCGAACACACGGTGACACGTTTCCAGGATCCTTTCAAGTTTTTACCCATGTTTTCGAGGCAAAGAAAGAGAAATGAAGCGTCTCCAGTTCTTTTAGATGGAAAATATGTTTTCTAAATTAGTCAGAGGGCGGGAGATTGGAAGGTCAAGGGAGGGGCCAGCCGGTTCTTTCCAGCTAGCAAAGTTCAGGCAGTTGCTAAACCACTGCTTAAGTTAGGATACGCGGCATAACCTCGTATCACGTCTGCTGAATTTAAACAAGGGGCCATAAAAAAAGAAATGCATGTTGGGTGTCACCCAACACTGAGGCTCGACTGCCAAGGCGGAAAAAACGTGCCCTTTCTCCTCCAGCTCTCCGGGAGGTGCCAGGTTGTAATCTGCAAATGTACGATTGTCTGGCCCTAGGGGCTTGACAGTTAATGATTTGCCGCAGGAGGAGCAGGCGGGAGAAGCCCGAGGACCGAAGGAGCGCGGGAGCGCGGCGCACAGGCTGAGCCGAGCCTCCGCCGGCCTCACAGGCGCCGCTCGCGTCTTCCGGGCTGGGGCACTTAGGGGGATTCCGGGCACCGGAGATCGCAGGCGCCCCGATGGAGGCAGCCCTGCCGGTGGGATCCGGCACCCCGCATCCACAGGAGCAGGGAGCGACCCTGCTGCACAGGATGAAAGGCAAACTCTTCACCTGGTGAGTGGAAGGGGCGCGCGGCGGCGGCCGCGGAGGGGGGCTCGGCAGAGCTGCGGCCCCGGGACCCGCTCGCACTTCGCGGCGGAGCACAGCGCAGGGCGGCGAGGGAGAGGCGGCGGCGGAGCTGTCTTTGAAGCTGGTTCAGGCGACAACGTGTGCACCAGGAACGTAGCTCCTTACCTGGCTTTGTGAAGCACTTGCTGCTCCTCCCTCGGCCTCTTAGGAATCATGGGAATGCATTTCAGAGGCTTGAGGGGAAATTCACCCTCTTGGCACTGTTAGGTCGGTTCCCGGTGGCCTCCCAACGGGGAGAGGGCGAAGTCCCCAGGGATGCTGTGATGGAGGGGTGCCCACCCTCGGGCTTGGCTCCGGTTCCTGGCGCCGGCGCCCGCATTCCTTCCGCAGCCGAGCCTCTCTGACCGGCCCCGATCCTGCACTAACAAATGTGTTCACCCAAGTGAGAAATCTGGGTTAAGTTTCTCGTGGTGCCGCCCGGAGGTAGTCTGGAGCTGCCTCCTTCCCCGGCCTGAGCGAGGCGACATGGCCTCCTCCAGGGTTGGGGTCCAGGGAAGCCTGCGTCTAGTGTCACTGCCCTCTGTGGGAAATAGAAATATGCTTAAGGGATTGATAGCGACTCTGGGACAGAAAAAGCATTTCTGTGACTACTGGAAGACTTGAATTCCGGAAATAGGAATAACTAACCCAGGATCTAAATAATGAAAGCCAACAATTACTGAGTATTCTCTGTGTCAGGTACTGTGCTTAACAATTTTAATGGGTAATACTGACTAATCCTGACCACTTCATGAGAAGACACTACTGTTATACCCACTTTGCAGATGAAAGCTAAGCAATTTGCCTAAGGCCATGAGATGACCTATAAGGAATGGTGCCTGCAAGAAATTGAAGCCTTGCCCTGGCTGGTTTGGCTCAGCGGTTAGAGCATCGGCCTGCGGTCCAGAGAGACCCGGGTTCGGTTCCCGCTAAGGGCACGTACCTCGGTTGCAGTTTGTCCACAGCCCTGGTTGGTCGTGTGGGTGGCAGCCACTCGATGTGTCCCTTTCACGTCGATGTTTCTCTCTCTCCCTCTCTTCCTCTCTCTCCCTCCCACTCTATCTGAACAAAAAATAGAAAAATGTCCTCGGGTGAGGATAAAAAAAAAAAAAAAAAAAAAAAAAAAGAAATTGAAGCCTTAACCACTCCTGCCCACTGGCGCCTCTCATGAAAAAGGCATTTGATTTTTTTTTTTTTTTTTCATATTAACAAAGAGAATTTCAGTGCTCTCTTCCACGGTACATATAACAAAAGAATTTCTCTTTAAAGATTGTGATAACTATGTCCTGAAAAGCAATACCATTTGCAAAACTAGATCAATAATGCTGTATGCATTTCTGTCATATATAAATATGTATAGTTTTAAATAGATGGATATGTTTAAAGGGGAAAGTTGATAAAAAATCACTTTGTATCATGCAGCTGTATATGTCCTGATAAATTTAATTACAAGTTCTCCTCTGATAGGCAGGGGCCTAACACAATGGGCAGGGCCGCAGATCCTGGACTCAGATACTGTCTGTGCCACTTACCAGCTGGATGACCTTGGGCAAGTCACTTAACTTCTCTGCCCCAGTTTTCTTTTTAAAATTTTTTTCTTTATTGATCTTAGAGAGAGAGGAAGGGAGAGGGAGAGATAGAAACATTGGTGAGAGAGAACATTGATTGGCTGCCTCCTGCATGCCCCCCACTGGGGATTGGGCCTACTACCTGTGTATGTGCCCTGACAAGGAATTGAACTGGCGACCTCTTGGTACATGGGTTGATGCTCAACCACTGAGCCACACTGGCCAGGCACGTTTTCTTATTTATAAAGTAGAGACAATACATTACCTACCTTTGGGATGTTGTAAGGATTACATAGGAGTGGGTAGACAGCTTTGCTCATGCTACTCCGTCACTCAACATCAGCTCTCCATTCCGTGGTGATGGGAAGATGTGGTGTTGCTCCAGGAGATGCTGGCAGCCTTGATGTTGTGACAGACAATAGAGCAGATATCATTTTAGGGAGATATAACAAGTTTGAGCAATATGTTTTCTCTTAATGTTATAATATTTAAAAAATTCTGGTATGTTTTATAGTCAGGAATATCTAATAGCTTCCTAAATAAGAAATTTCTTCTATCTCTGAACACACTTTTTTTTTGTTGTTGTTTGTTAGTCCTCAAGCATATTTTTCCATTGATTTTTAGATAGAGTGGAAGGAAGGGAAGAAGAGAGAGAGAGAGAGAGAGAGAGAGAGAGAGGGAGAGAGAGAGAGAGAGAGAAATTGATGTGACAAAGACACATCAATGGGTTGACTCCCACAGGACTCCGACCAGGGCCAGGGATTGAACCTGAGACCCTTCAGTCTGATGCTTTAACTGCTGAGATACACCGGCCAGGGCAAACACACTTTTTTTTGTATCTCTTTTGCACATCTTTACTTTCTTCCTTGTGTGACAGCCGTTTGTGGGCATCTTACATTCCTGATGGGCAAAGTCCTTAATGGCAGAATCAAGTCCTTTCACTTTTTTTCACAGCCACTAGCACACAAATGAACGAATGAGGGATGACAAAGTTTCCGCAGGCTTCCTTTCCATTCTGCCACACACCCTGCACTCTTCCCTTTATTGATCTTTATTTATTCTGGGGGTCTTGGGAAGGAATTTTTGTTTGGTTGGCAGAGCTCTTCAGTTCATTAAAGGTTTGTCTTACCTCTGGCAACAATCCAGACACTTGGATTCTGGTTTGCAGTTTCTCCTTGTCTTTTTTTTAAAAATTATCTTTATTGTTGAAAGTATTACAGATGTCTCCCCCTTTCCCTCCACTGACCTCTCTTCTCCCCTCACCCCACGTCTTGAGAAGCAATCAGAGAAGTGCAGTTTACCGGGTATCCAGTACTCCTTATAGTCAATATTTTAAACTCTCAGTATTAATGCTCATCTTCCAAATTTCTTTTCTTTTCTTTAAAAATTAAATTATTTTTGTTACAGATGTTTCTCCTTTTTCCCCCAGACACCCTCCTCCTGATGCCCCCCTCCCTCTCCCAGGATTGTTGCCTATGTCCATTGGTTATGCATATATGCATATAAATTCTTTGGATTATCTCATCCCTTCCCCCCAGCACCACTTCTCTGAGGTTTGTCAGTCTGAACCATTCTCCTTTCTATGTCTCTGGGTCTATTTTGTTCATCACCTTATTTTGTTCATTATATTCCACAAATAAGTGAGATCATGTGATATTTCTTTTTCTCTGATTGGCTTGTTTAACTTAGCATAATACTCTCCAGGTCCCTCCATGTTGTCTCAAGGGATAAGAGATCTTTCTTTCTTACAGCTGCACAGTGTTCCATTGTATATGTACCACAGCTCAGTGGATTGTACCATGGACTAAGAGGTCTGGGTTTGATTCCAGGTCAGGGCAGATGCCTGAGTTAGGGGGCAGGGTATGTGTGCAGGAGCTAGCCGTTGGATGTTTCTATCTCTCTAAAAAAATCAATAAAAAAATAAAAATAAATAAAGATAGTGATACCTTTGATATAAATAATAATAAGCCAGTCTTTCTTTTCTTTTTTCTTTTTTAGAGAGAAAGGGGAGGGGGAGAGAATTAGAAACATCGATGAGATAGATTGGCCACCTCCTGCACACACCCCACTGGGGATTGGGCCCACAACCTGAGCATGTGCCCTGACCGGGAATCAAACCAGTGACCTCTTGGTGTGTGGCTTGATGCTCAACCACTGAAACACACCAGCCGGGCAAGCCAGTATTTCTTTTTATTTTGACATTTTTTTGTTAATTAATTAATTAATTTATTTTTGTTACAGATGTTTCTCCTTTTTCCTCCACTGATTTCCCCTTCACCCTCCCTCCCTGCCCTGTCCCCAGCTTTGTTGTCCATGTCCATTGTTCATGCATAAATGCATATAAGTTCTGTGGTTTATCTCTCCCCCACCACCCCCTCTTCTGGGGACTGTCAGTCTGTACCCCACTTCCACATCTCTGGGACTACCCCATTCCTCAGACTGTTATGTTCATTATATTCCACAAATAAGTGAGATCATATGATACTTGTCTTCCTCTGTTTGGCTTGTTTTGCTTAGGATGACACTTTTCAGGTCCCTCCATGTCATCTCAAAGGATAAGAGATTTTTTTTTCTTACAGCTGCATAGTACTCCATTGTGTATATGTACCACTGCTTTTTTATCCATTCGTCTACTGATGGACACTTGGTCTGTTTCCAGATCTTAGCTATTACAAATAGTGCTGCTACGAACATGGGCGTACATATATTCTTCCTGATTGGTGTTTCAGGCTTCTTAGGGTACATTCCTAGAAGTGGGATCACTGGGTCAAATGGAAGTTCAATTTTTAATTTTTTGAGGTAACACCATATTGTTTTCCATAGTGGCTGCACCAGTCTGCATTCCCACCAGTAGTGTACTAGAGTCCTCTTTTCTCCACACCCTCGCCAACACTTGTTGTTTGCTGATTTATTGATGGCGGCCATTCTGACAAGTGTGAGGTGATACCTCATTATTGTTTTAATTTGCATCTCTCTGATGATTAGTGATGCTGAGCATTTCTTCATATGTCTCTTAGCCGTTTGTATGTCCTGTTTGGAGAGGTGTCTATTTAGTTCCTCTGCCCATTTTTTAATTGGGTTCTTTGTCTCCCTTTTGTTGAGTTGTATGAACACTCTCTATATATTGGAAATTAACCCCTTATCTGATACATCATTGGCAATTATGTTCTCCCATACAGTGGGTTGCCTTTCTATTTTGATGATTGTATCTTTTGCGGTGCAGAAGCTTTTAGTTTGATGTAGTCCCATGTGTTCATTTTCTCCTTTGTTTCTGTTGTCTTAGGTGATGTATCAGAGAAAATTCTCAAGTCAGCAAATATTTTTTTAGTTCCTAGTAGATTTCTGACATTGTGTCAGGCCCTGGGAATATAGAGTAAT